AGTGGTTCAAGCGGTCACCTCGCCGCTTACTAGTACGCTGAGTGTTGTGGGTCCGATCCCCACATGGGGCGACACTTTGTATGATCCACAAATTATTGTTCTGAGTCTGGGTGTTCTTTGTGTTCCTTTCAATTATGTCTGTAAAGTCCCGCGCGACACAGGATATATTCCTAACTTCCGCAAATTGTCTTTTATAATAATAATAACAAAAACCACCATTTCAACTGTTTTTAAAATTAGGTAAAGATATAATTCAAATATTTTCGGGCAACGCATTTAAATACTTTGACACACATGGTCTGACAGCAATACGGGTTCTCTTAATATTGATCAGTATCAGATTAGAATTCACATTTCACTGTTGGTAATTAACTATACCTGACCAAAGCCTAAGTACGTAAATGTGCCAAACTTAACCAAATGCATACTTAGAACATTTTCAAATTTTAGTACAACTAACTCTTGTCCACAGCTCTGCCCGCGGCAAAAAGTAGCATATGTTACTCGCTTGTTATGATTGGTGAAAGAATTTTTAAAACCGGTGTAGTGTTTTAGGCGTGAAAGCGTAACAAACAAACATACTCAATTTCACATTGACTATGTAAGCATATGTGTAATGAATACTAAGTGTTTATTACACATATGATATAAGTACGGAAGTTTGGATTTATAGCCATAGGTAGATATTATGATATATCGTTATGTTTAACGCACTGAAAAGCGTATTGTTAATAGTGATGAGATGAAATATGTTTCTACTGCGTAATTATAAATCAATATTACTATTTATAAATCTTCATGTAATTCTTTTGAAATTCAGAATATTGAACGAATAATGAAAGATGTTAAAAATCAGATTCGTGACTTGAGTACTCATTTACATTTTAACATAAAAAATCTTATGTATAACGTATGAACATGGATAATATCATATATTTATTTATCTAGAAGCATTTTTTTACAAATAGACTAGCTGACCCGGCTAACGTTGTATTGCAAAACAAAAAAAATTAGGGATGGGTCACCCTTACCATTTAGGGGTATGAAAAATAGATGTTGGCCGATTCTCAGACCTACCCGATGTGCACACAAAATTTCATGAGAATCGGTCGAGCAGTTTCGGAGGAGTACGGGAACGAACAATGTGACACGAGAATTTTATATTTAAGATTGAATCGATCGATCGAAGAACACGTAGAGCTGTCGCGTGTCGGCCCCGGTTGTCATCCGTACATCTGTGGCAATTATTACGGGTAGCTGGAGTCCTAAAAAAGAATTCGAGAACAGTCTATCTATAGAACTTCGATATAATCGTCTATTACTTGGATTGTGGAGGTCTGATGGCACTCGCTCCATGAAAAATATCGAAGTTCAGCCGTTTCGTAGAAGTCTGAAAAGGTGACCCCAACCTGGTTTGAAAAAAGGCTCGAAAGACGAAGATTGAAACTTCCTCTTAAATAATTTCGATTGTTATTTTTTATCCAATCAGAAATATTAAGATTTCTTTTTTATTTATATTCTACAGTCGGCTTAAACCGTATTTAAAAAAGTTCGTGATGTTAATGAAATAATTCCTAAAAAGCGTATTAGAAAAAATAGATTTATGTGGTTGATCAGAACTTGAACAATTCTGATCGAACATATAAATCTGAATTTTCGTTCAATCCTTTTTATAACATTTAAATTTTCAAAGTTTTTTTACACTCTGAATGATCACGAATGAAAAATAATTTAATCAATCATTAATTTCAATATCTTCTAGAATATGTTGAACCTCACTCGGTACTGTGTAAGTAAACTAATTTTATTAAATTCTTGATTTTACTATTCGCGTGCAGACATCACGATTCTCTCACCAATGAAGTAAACTCCACCTTTATTGAATAATTGGATATAAAAGTTGTTCGATAAAAATGGAATTAACGCTAAATGAATACTAAAAAGGGAAGTGAGCTATAAAAATTATATTATAGCTATTATCGACATTTTTAGTACAGATTTATGTCTTCGATCAGAATTATTCACGGTAAATAAATTGAATTTTCGCAAAGATTTTTTCATAGTCAATGATTACGACTTAAAGTACCTTAAGATTTTTGAATTTAAGACATACTGATAACAATTAACCTGAGCTGCTAGAACCAGTACTTTACCCAGTCTCATCATCGTCATCAACAGCCTTTAATAGTCCACTGCTGGACATGGGCAGACGCCCATGTCCAGCAGTAAGGAGAGCCTTAGAAAGGAGGTTTTGGCCTACTATACCACGCTTTCCAGACTTGTTGGTATATGGTTTGTTTCAAGCTTTCCTTCTCTTTGTAGTGCTGTTGTCGTGCGTAATTTGCTTTCTTAGTCGACTCTTACGACACCCACGAGATAAATAGAGGTGGTGACACTCCATATTCTTAATCTGTCACCATACGGATAGCTAGCCAGTCTATAGAATAGCTAATAATAGAGGAACAACGGTTTTGCATATTACATAAGTGGGACCAAATTAAATATTTTTTGACATGAAATCTCTTCTTTTTATGGAATTAAGCTGTCAAAGGTATTTTTTTTTTATTTTGCAAGGAAATGGAGGAAAAGTATTTAACACATAATAAATGTAACATTCTAAATACTTTCCTATTTTAGCAGCACCTTCGTTATTTACAAATCACAGATCCAATAATAGATTGATAATTAGGTATATAACAATTTATTGTAATGCTGGGTCACCTGATGGAAAGTGATGGACCCATGGATGCATGTACTACAGGTGCCACAACCGCGTTGCCAGCCTTCGAGGTTTGAATAAACTTTTTTTTTAAGTTTCGAGGTCGTATCAGATCTGGAATAGTGCAGGTGACAATTTGTTGCAAATTTTCATAGAATACGAGACATGAAATGTGTAGCACTGATAATAATGTACCTACGGGTAAATTATTATTGTTATAAAACAACTTTTTTCCATCAATTCTCTACTAATTTTGATTAACATGTATTCAGTTTTGTTTTATGTTAATATCCGTCAAAAACAAACTTTAAAACAACTAATACGTACAGTTTTAAATAAGAACAACACAGTGAAGTAGTAGTACACAGTCGTTTTACCATTTCGTCGAAAGCAACTTAACAATGAAAACCAATTAGCTGGCTACAATTGACGTATAAAATTCAACGGATCCAATTAAAGTGGAAAAATTAACATTTTGTGCTTCAATTATGTTTTAATACAATGCTATAATGAGAATCAAAGCTTATTCTACTTGTAGGTTTATGTGATTGATTTATTTTATCACATTATAACCCTTTCTTGTGTAATAGTCCCTAATAAGATCTATTTGACATTATAAATACTGTTGGTTTCAATATAGTATTATTACATATTACATACTATTATACAATGTAGTATTTTAGACAGTATATATATATATATATAATTAGCTGACCCTGCTAACTTTGTTTTGTTATTTACATTTTTTTTTTGAATTTCTTAAAATCCGTTCTTAGCTGACCTCTACTCGGTGAATAGAATATTCCTACCAAATTTCAAGTCTTTAGCTCTAATGGTTCCAGAGATATCGTGATGAGTGACTATATACGTGGAAAATCTCTTATATATTTATAGATATATATATTTATATAGGTGTGTATGTATGTATGTGTATTGATCTATGTGTCATGTGAACAGATTTATATTTGTGTATGAATGCTTTTGTTGATATTTTTAAACATTCACGTGATAATGCGTAACGTGTATGTAAACTACCAAATTTTTTTAAAATATCTAATATCCGTATTAAGGTTGTCTGTAAGAAATCGCCGTGTATATATTTGTAATTAACTTATGTTAACACTGTATACAATGAACATATAAATAAATAAATAAGATCTATTAATATCAGGCATTAAAACTTAATTTCGTCATAAAGCGTTATTCCAAATCTTCTATTGGTGACGTACAGTCGTAAGTATGTGATATTGATTTCAAATCTGGGAGAGATCAGCATACCAACAGTGTTTTGTTTATAGATTATAGTAGCCATCCCTCTATGAAAAAATTTCCTCAGCTCATTAGTCTTACTGATTATTATTAAAAGACAACTCCCGCACTAGGAATATATCCTTGTGTCGCGCGATATTTACAAACATATATGGTAACGGACACAAAGAACACCCAGAATCAGAATAACAATTTGTATATCACACAAAGTGTTGTCGCGTGTGGGGATCGGACCCATAACACTCAGCGCAGTAGGAAGCAGCTAAGTGACCGCTTAAACCACTACGCCCCCCGTGCAGTCAAATCAAGTTACTAAAAATTTTAGTTGACTATTGCTTTTTGTCCACAACTTCGGTTCGGTAGGTAAAAGTATATTTGTTATCCCTCGGCAACACTTTATATCTGAATGAAAGATGTGCCTCTGTCTTTTGGTCAGACAATAGCAATATGTACGCAAAATTTTATGATATTAAGATAAACGCTACTGCAGCGCATAAAACACAAACAAACCATAAAAATCAAAGTACTAAGACACCACGATTTCTATGAAACAAACACTTATTTTTGTCATAAATATTTCATTTTTCTACAAAATTCAAATCATCAACATGTTAACAAATATGAGATATTATCTATACAAATAAATAAAATTGGAGTGTCTGTTTGTAATATTAAAATAACCGCTTTTTACTAAATGCATATGTATGTTTACACGGTACATATGCCAAAATAACATTTTTTACGATTTTTGTCTGTCTGTCTGTCTGTTTGTTCCGGGTAATCTCTGGAACGGCTGGACCGACTTCGACGGGACTTTCACTGGCAGATAGCTGATGACATAAGGAGTAACTTAGGCTACTTTTTTTAGACTAGCTTCGCCCCGCGGAGTTGCCCGCGGTTATAACAACAAACGCGGGTAACACCGCGGGTCTCAGCTAGTATTATATATGATACATTCATAATATAAGTAACTATTTTATCTATATTGAATTTGTTTCGGTCTTGTCAACAGTGCCGCCCAACAAGATGGTAATCACAGATGATAAAGGTGACGTGAAACAAGCTATTGTCGGACCTTATATTGAAGGTGACACCTTCACGCTGAAATGTGACGTCACTGGGGGTAAGTAGTATTCTGAAGATGAATTGAAATAATTATAATTGATGTCTTGCAACTGGTACACGTGTGGATAAGATGTTATAAGTGTGTTACAGAAAGGAGTTTTTAATAATGTTCAACTTAACTGTTGTTTTTTTTAAATAGCTTGAACGAGAACTAAACTGGTCAAAATTATTGCCTTTACCTAAAATGTTATCGAGTAACTTATTGTTGTAGTTTGTTTATGCCGTTGCTATTGTAGATGTGTAAGATTTTGAAAAAAAAAGTATCATAAAAATTTACTACTCTTTTTTATAGATTAGTAGGATTTAATTATGATAAATATTTCATAGGTTAGACCTTATTTATTTCTCTAATTTCTGTATACCTATTACCAGTTCAAAATGAATCCAGTCTATCCAAAGGTGGCCTGGAAGAAATTGCTCTAAGCGATAAGGCCGCCCTTTGTACATTACATCTGTTGTTAATTACTTTATAATGTCTGTAAAACCCTGGTGTACAAATAAAGTATTATCTATCTATCTACCTTCAGTAATACGTGAAATCAGAGCTGGTGTAACTTTATATAGCTTTCACTTACCATTCCGCCATTCAGCCTCTGGACATTGCCTGTGCAACTTGATCAAAACATTAATTCAACCGTAATGGCGTTAATTTCCATACGAATATATAATTAAATATATTTTATTTTTCATTTCATTAGTAATTAAATTGTCATTGTACCTTCAACTAATCCTGTCTCTCCAAAACATTTTCATGCCATACTAAGGTTGCATGGGAGAGATTGCTTTTAGCAATAAGGCCGCCCTTTGTACATGTTTTGTTTACATGTCTGAAATTTTTATGTACCCTACTACTTGTAAACCGGTATACAAATAAAGAGTTTTCTATCTAACTATCTACATATTAAGGATGTTTAAAATTTAAAAGATTGCCATGTCTAATCTATAATTTTTTCCAGGACGACCAAGGCCTTGGGTGAAATGGTTCAGAGATGAAGTAGAGACTGATACGCCAGCTACCCCATTATCAGGAAACGGTGTGCGTGGGGTACTGAGGGTGGGACCACTAACGAGACTCGATGTTCGAGCAGCTTTTACGTGCAGAGCCTCAAACCATGCCAGAGCACATCCTATTGAGACGACGCTCACTTTAGATATGAATTGTAAGTTTAAATACAGTATGGCCAATTTTTCAAACAACATTCTACTTTGATTGCCTTCAACATCTTAAGAGTTATAAATCTGACGATGAAATTAGAACCCTTTTTCAGTTGGGAAGAAATAATATAGTTGTTGTACACCTTGTTGCAGTCAAAATAGTCTTCAATGGCACATTTTTTGCTTCTAAAGTAAACGATACATATTTCAGCCAAAGACAACAGAATAATTCCCAAGTTTGCACTTGTATAGTGCTAAAATCTTTTTTGCAAATCTTGCGATAAATACCTTACTCAAATTTAGGTACGTCTGGAAGTTCAAATTTATTATACTGCATGTAAAAATCTGTAAACATGATTATTACATTTATTCATAGCTTTAATGGTTTCCTACTATTAGATACTGTTGATGTGATGGTTTCCTTCCCTGTATTTGTGCTCATGTTTTTTTTCTGTATCTCAAGTTCTGATACGCAATTCCTTTTGATTGTTAGAATGATTGTTTAAAGTTTTTACACAGTTAAAATGGTCTCCCCAACCCAATGTACATCGGGTACATCATATCATACTGTATTGGAATAATATCATTTTATCTTTCATCTACCCAATATACACATATCCATTCATACGTAAAAACTATAGATAAAAATCTTTTTCTGACATACGAAGAAAAACAAGTCCTCCTTTATTACACGTTCTGATAAAACCAAAACAAAACTCTTGGATTTCCTATATTTTATTATCTTTAGTGGCCAAAGTCAACCGCACTTGACACAATTGGCTTCAACACGATATATTGCGTGAGTATTTTGATACTCAAGTTTTATTATTATGAATAGAGTTATATCAATATATAATACAAATATCTAGCGTACGTGAATTCATGTGATCGATTACGATGATTTTTAAAGAAAATCTCAGCCTCGTCGAGCATAAGAAAAAGGGAAGGTACAGCCACACCTTCCTTTTCCCGAAGTCATTCAAAATTGACCTGTTCGATTTGACCTCTTGTGACCATTAAAGTAGTTCAAAAGGTATAGTAAAAACATAAAGCTCTCAAATATTGACACGGTCACCACAAAATGATAGTTAACAAATTAATGTTTTACGGTATTCTAAACGAAAATGTCTCTTTTCAGTTCCACCACTCACAGTCCACATTCTTGGTTCAAATCAGCCGCTGTCAGCAAGTAGAAGATACGATCTTTTGTGTCAAAGTTCAGGTTCAAGACCTCCTGCGTCAATCACTTGGTGGAAGAATGGACATAGAATTAATAACGCCAAAGAAACAGTAAGAAAAACTTCTTTTTTTTAAATCTAGCAAAGACAGCTTCAGCTATTCTATTTTTTTTTTTTTATATATACATATATATACTTGTGGTTCGACTATGCTACTTTTTTTAAATACAATTAGAGCGAAGCCAAGTATCCAATAATTAGATTTCGGTTAATATACCAAAACTATGATCAGAAATCTATTAGGACATATTTAAGTTTTGCTCTAATGGACGCTGGCAAGTTTTTATATACAATCTAAGTCTGGGCGTGTGCGGACTATGAACCTATGTAACCATTCCAAGCTCAATGTTATAACTTGATGAAATTTCAGCCCAGGCCTTTCATGTTCCTTACTGGTCCCTTCATCAATCATATATATATATATATATCTAATAGTCCACTGCTGGCCATAGGCCTCTCCTTAGAAAGAAGGTTTTGGCCTACTATACCATGCTGGCCAGACGGTTTGGTATAGGGTTTAGTATAGGGGTTTAGTATAGGTAGTTTAGTATAGGGGACGGTTTGTTTCAAGTTTTCTTTCTTTTTGCAGTGCTGTTATCCTGTGCATTTTGTTGCTACGAAATTTTGGGTTAGTACCGAGTGTCGAGTCCGCAGTAATTTAAGCATTTCCTGATGATTTCGAACTATGCATCTAGTGATGAGTTGCCATTTTATTAATATTTTACATCGTGATCTTCACATATACATATTCACTCAACCTATCCTTTCGGGAATGTACACATTCCTGAAACGACATGCTGACATTTGCAAAAAGTGACATTTAGTCAGCTGATATTTGATCCTACAGCCATGAGAAATACTGTTAATTTTACATCGCAAGAAATAACAATTTAACAGACTTTTTAATAGAAATACTATGTCGCACAAATCAAACTTTTGCTATTTGTTCAACAAAATATTTATCAAATTAGTATCTTTTTCTTTTTTAAAGACAACTCCTGCACTAAGAATACATCCTGTGTCGTAGGGGCTTTTACAAATATACATGAAACGGACATAAATAACACCCAGACTCAGAACGACAATTTGTAGATCACACAAAGTGTCGTCCCATGTGGGGATCGAACCCATAACACTCAGAGTAGTAGGAAGCGGCGTGGCGACCGCTTCAACCACTACGCCATCCGTACATCTCTTATGTAATTGTTATATTATTATATTTACATAGCGATGAATAATTTATTTTCCGAAGTATAAATTATCTTTTTCAATACAGGTACCCATTACCATATTTCAACTATAAAATTTTGTAATATTAAAGAAAATTCTATCAAGTCTCGCGGTTATCGAGATTGACAACAAACCAATCCAAGAACAGATAGGAGACTACCTCATCAATTCCAAAACTTTTCGGGAGAAAAGCTAATTTTGCATAGAAATTTAATCAAAGTGGCCAATCTTATACGGCGTCAGTGTAGCAACTTGAAATAGGGGCACGTAAAAGTAATAAATGTAGATTGAATGGGACAGAGGATGCTAACAGAGTGCACAAATCGCTCGTAAGGGACCTTACAGTGTTCCTGTTGTGAATGTTGCAAAGTGAAACTTACTCTAACTTCCAATGAGGCAAATTTGTCAGTAGGTCGTCTGGGTATGTAATTAGCTGAACACTGAAAAATGTAGACTGACACTAAAAATATTTACTTATTAGGGGATTTTGTTAGAAAGCTTTTGTTACAGCAGATTTTGGAAAAATCATTTTGGAAACGAATGCCAACACTATTAAATAATTATCATCTCATTCTTTCTTTTTTACCAAACTGTTATTATCTGTTTATACACTCCAAGTAATAAGTTTTTCAAGAGTTTAAATGACCGGGTTTATATTATATGTTCAAGGCAAAACAAAAAAAACTTTTAATAATAATAAGTGCATAAAAGACAACAGCGCTGCAAAGAGAAGGAAAACTTGAAACTTGTAGTATAGTAGGCCAAAACCTCCTTTTTAAGAAAAGGCCTATGTCCAGCAGTAGGCTCCTAAAGGCTGTGGATGACATTTTTTCATTGAACTACTAGACGTCGAACTAAATATTTCGACTTCTTTTTGATGATGATGATGATGAAGTGCATAAAAAAATTGAGAATCACCTTCGCACTCTTTACCTAATTATCTTAATTGTTTGGGAGCCTTCAATAATAAGTGGAGTGTATATTTGAATATAATTTATTTAGTGGTAAAAGTAACACGGCTTCGGCTCGGCGCGGGAGCCGGCTCGCCTCCCCGCACCCTGCAGCGCGAGGTCTCCAACATTCACAAACATATTGATGTCGAATTCTCAACGAACGAAATAAAATTGTCAACGTATTGAGGAATCAAACTAAAAGTATATTTTCTGGTCTTCTTGTTTTAGAAAAAAGATCATCCAGTCTCTAACCAACCCAACTATCAAGAATGTTTTAACAAAAAAATCTCTTTGACAATACTTTTCCCTTTTGCTTTTGGGCCGCTTCGGTAGACAGTTACAACATATGCATAAATTAAATATGTACAGGAATGTGTTGATGCTTTCCAAATAAATTTTTATCATTGGCAATAATATCTTGGTGATTACGGATTTCTGCTATAAAGATTCCGTTAGTATAATAATAATATAATATAATTTTCTACACAGCGTTGACTACAGTGCAGTTGTGAACTTGATCTGGACGACCTGTCAACAAAACTTATTTTTTAAAAGTTATAATTTAACGGAAATATTTAAGTTCGACGTTACGCGACATTTATCTTTAATTGAGTAGTTAAGTTGTTAGTTTTTTTTAATTAGTCTATTAACATGTTATAGAAATAATAATAATAATATAATATATTTTACCACATTCACACCACGCCATCTAGTCCCAAACTAAGCAGAGCTTGTACTATGGCTACTAGACAACTGATATTAATACATATATACTTTTTTTTGTAAATACATACATATTATACATAGAAACACCCAGACCAAATCAAACATTAAATGTTCATGCACACAAATGTTTGAATTGAGCGGGAATCGAACCCGCGACCTTTAGAATAGCAGTCCGTTACACAATCCACTATGTCATCCGGTCGTCAAACGATAAACATTAATTTAATACAATTCAAAAGTACCGTTACTAAAATCATTTCAATTAACATTTCAGTGGTAGTGATCCTATTGTCCGTTTCATCGTACAACCAGACGCACAATAGTAGGTATTCATGGGCAGAAGTGCACTTTATTTTTGCACTCTTTATTGCAGTGACTGATTATACGTTATGGATTTGCTTGGAACACGAATACATTTAAGCATTTAGGGGAGGGGTTTTAGGCACTGACATCATCAACTCGTCGAAAAGCAACAAAAGAATTGCTTAACACCGTTTTCTCTGAGGCCGTGGTATTTCTCCGGTCGAATCTCATTATAACGAACCATTACTGATAGATTAATTGGGCTACTGTCTTCCGCTTATTTGCTCTTCATTTGATGAAGATCTACCTCTCTCTAGTTATAATTTAAACTAGATCCATTAATGCATAATAATTTTATAGCTTCTGTCAAGATTCATTAACTTCCCAAAACACAAATATTTCGGTGTACACGCTTTTGGCGAAATTTAATTCTCCTTGCTTCCCTACACAAAAGTGACGATCTAAATAGATTACATCGGTTGAAAGCCGAAATATCAGTCTTAGAACCTTGATTACAACACAATATGGGACGTCAATCAACCCACACACAATATTCGACTTGGTTTGACTGTCGTACATAATTTAATTAAAGCGCACAGCCAACACGCCAACTAGAAATTAATATTAACAACACTTAATTAAAATCAATTCTGAATACAAACTCGGGAGAAGCCTTGTGATTGGCTGATTTCGGCAACGTTTTTCGTAATTTGAACGGTATTATTGGTTTACTTAATCTCATAGATTTCTATATCAAGTCACTTTCTTTGTTGTTGGTACTTTTTGAGATTTTATTACTTTCCAAACAATCATGTGAACTGAAATAAGTCAGTGATATATAATTAGTGACGGTAATTGTTACTTAATTTTTTAAATATTAAATGTTTTTTTTCATTTATTAAATACAATTATTAAGTAATATTTACAATCTTAATATAAAATACTAACGAAAATCATAAAAATCCTTCTCACAGTCATCGATAGGCGACAAGTAACACTAAATGACAATCTTTAAAATAACTTCTGTGTACTCGTATTCTTCGTTTTCTTTTAGTTCTATAATTTATATTTGATAGTTCTTTTACTAACGTTCTGCTTTCTAATATCACCATAACTCTATTTCATTAATTATATTGCTACCCAAAATTAATCCGTTCGCAAAATGATTAACTTGAAGTGGTTAATAAATTGGGCTTTTGCAATTTGAAATACACTTAAGGAGCTTACATACCAAGATAATAACGAAAAGTGCCAACCTCTTATTGAACCTTTAATAAATTGTATCACAATGAGTTAAACAATCATAATGGAGAATTTAATTTTCCATTTTACTAAATACTAAACTAGCATTTTTCTAGCTAGTTCTTAAAACTCTTAGCTAGGATGGAAAACCTTCAGAAGAACATTGTTCGTAAGAATAGTTTTAAGCAGAGCTTGATTAAAAATCGTGATGATAGACAAGACAACCATTTGTTAGGGGTAAAAATAAATATGTGGTGTAATCTTATATCTTTTTTTCTTTTTTTTCTTTTTTCTTTTTAAAAAGACAACGCCCGCATTAGGAATATATATTCCTGTGTCGCGGGGGACTTTACAAACATACATGAAATGGACACAAAGAACACCCAGACTCAGAACAACAATTTGTGGATCACACAAAGTGTTGTCCCATGTGGGGTTTGAACCCACAACACTCGGCGTAGTAGGAAGCGGCGTGGCGACCACTTTAACCACTACGCCATCCGTGCAGTCAAAAGTTATATGGCACTTATTTTTTAAATGTTCTTATTTTTTAAACAAGAGATCCAGAATCGGTGCAAAAAAGAAAACGTTTTCTTTGCATCGATTCTGGATCTTTTGTGCCGATTTGTCAAGTACTATGTAAAATGTTTTTCTGAAGATTTTCCAACCTATCTAAGAGTTGTAAGAACTATTACTCATTTTGATACACGCAGCGAGCTGCAAACGAACTTATTGACAATTGAGTGTATTAATACCAATGCAAACTACCACTTATTTTTCTTTAATTAATACACATTTTTATTAATAAATATGGTCATTGTTTATTTCCTTTAGAAAGTTAACTTTTATAAGAACTAAGCAATTATTATAATTGTTATTAAATACGGATAAAGTAGGTAAGTCAGAAAAGTATTTTATTGACATTAGCAACAAACAAATGGAATCCATAGGTCAAGATAGATTTTTCATTAACATTGTTTTGCTGACCCTGCAAACGTTGTTTTGCTATTTACATTATTTAAAAACTTTTTTTTTTAATTTCTTAAAATCCGTTCTTAGCTGACCTCTACTCGGTGAAAAGAATATTCCTACCAAATTTCTTCTTGTCTTTAGCTCTAATGGTTCCAGAGATATCGTGATGAGTGACTATATACGTGGAAATCTCTTATATACATATAGATATGTATTTTTTTTCTATAGTTATGTATTCAAACAAAGCTTTTTGAACCCAAAGTCTGTATCTCTCTACACAGTTATCAACAGATGGTAATACGACAACATCAACAGTATCCTTGCAACTGACCAAGTCTGATGCTGGAGCAAAACTTGCGTGCAGAGCTTCAAATCCTCAAATGCCATCAGTGCCAGCTTTAGAAGACGATTGGACTTTGGATATACAATGTAAGTTAAGGCTTTCCACCAATAAAATGTTCCATACACAAGGAAATTTCTAACATAATTGGAGAAGGTGTTCTGTTAGAAAACACTGATGATGATGATGATGAAAGACTATCAGATTAACAGTAGTGCCGTTATTGAGTTTAAAGTGGTTATTAAGATCCTGAGAGCTATGGTTATCATCTATAAAAGATTTACAACTATTGAACTTTATAGTATTTTAAATATATCTTGTATAAATACGAGACTAGAAATGCAACTGGAGTGTTACCTACATCTATTTTAGATTAAAGATATCAATTCTTTTTAAATTTATTTTCTACATCAGTGGACATTCTGAAGTTTCTGAATGTTAATCTCGCCGTACCCCATGGGAGGTTAAAAAGACTGAAGAAAAATTACGCTTATCCAAAATTACCTTTTCAAATTTTATTGGCACTAAACCTTGAAAGTTTGCTTCACTTTGTTTTCGGTGAGTTCTAGATTTTATGACTGAGAATGGAATTTTGTAACAAAAGTTCTTAATATTGAAGACTGAAATAACAGTTAACTCATTGTAAGCTACCGTGTCGATTATAAACTTGGCAATATCCGTAAAATATCTAAAGGTTATTAAGTAGGTTTAGTTAATATAGCAAAGTAGTTAATTTTGACTGTCAACGTGTGCTATTTTTAGTTTCAATTTGAGTCCTATAGAGAAGTTTGGTATAATAATAATTTATGTTATTAATCTACTGATTTATTGGAAAGTGGGAATAAAAATATTTGTCACACCCAAATTTTACTAATCATATTTTGGTCGAACAGAAAGACAAAATATTCACCACAGATATTTTCTGAGTCTATAATTAAAAAGCGAATACCACTAAAGTAACTACCGATATCAGTACCAATACAAATTAACTACCGATAGCTAAAATAAGATAAGAATAATAAAAAAAGAGGAAGAAATAATTACTTAGAACAGTAGCTCAACATTTCGGGTAGATAAACTTTATTTTCAGTCTCAAGTATTATTAAAGTGTAAATATTGAATATCTAAGTTTTCTGATTATGATAATTGGTTTTCAAATATTCAGAATTCATTCAGAATATTAAATTTCTCGAATTGTCTAAACCCTTCTGGTTTGCATATACTTGAATTCGAATTTGGAGATATAATCAATAAATCTATCCAGCAACAAATTCTACGAAAATTGAGTTTATAGCTTTCCACTGGACATGTATCTAAAGGATTACTGCAGAGCTTTGGAGCGAAGAATTGGATGACTGAGAAATTTTGTGATTCTGTATTGGACATTTTTTGTATTTCTTTTTTTTAACTAAATAACTTTAACATCTCTTTGCGGTATATGTTTCAATTACAACATGTTTGTTCATATTCATTTTCTAATTTCATATTTATTTTTATTTCAAACAGATGTCCCGGAGACCGTAGTACGACTTGGAACCAACCTGGATCCTACCAATATCAGAGAAGGCAGTGACGTATACTTCGACTGTAATATCAAGGCACACCCTTACGTTTATAAAGTGGAATGGAGGCATAACGTGAGTATTTGTTAATGGTTATTGTGATCACAATTTTACGCTACGATTAAATCTAGTTATATTTCAATACGGATTATACCCTGGATCAGCGGTATCATACTTGTTAATCCTGTGATATCATACCATAATATTGTTGGAATTCACTAGCTGATGGATATTACAATTTTACAGATGCGTAGAATCGTTAACACGGTAGAATTATTAACAAAAAGAGATTAAATGCTTGTTTGTTTTTACACTAGATTTATTTGTTACTACCAGATTTTTTATAAATTGTAGTTTTGATATTATAAACTCCCAAAAACGTTCTTTATCTTTGATCGGTGTTTCTGTTTTAATTTTTAACTACCCATTGAAACACAAGACGACATCATCAATTCTTTTACCATGCCTCTTGAGCCCTGTGTCCAATGTCAAATCATGTATCTTATGAATAGAAGACATGGTACTAAGTTTCTCACCCCCGGGACATGAAAGGGTAGCAACAGCGTTAGCCCCTAAACTTTCTCTACAATATACAGAGTATCATATATATTGTCGTATATAATCCTAAAGACCCTTTATATTTTGTGTCCTTTAGATGGACTTATCCTGTTGTGTCTTGTTCACGTCTTTTTCCTTAAGATAGAATGTTATATAAATAATTGTTTGACCCTGTAACGGAAAATCCTTTTTAGTACGTAATTTTTGTCACATAAATACCTACAGGCTATAAGTAAGCTTAGGATGACTGCTTTTCTCACAAGTGTGTGTATTTTTTTTGCAGCTAAGTTTATTGTAGAATAAGTTTACGTAGGTGTTTATTGATCTCGTGAGTTAAGTACTTGATAGAAATATTTGAAATGTGATTTTTGTAACACTTGACTTCTTAAGTATAATCTTAAATGAAATTTAACAACATCGAAATGCGATTACAAAGAATTATATGTATATTTAATAAACATCAATATAGAATTCTTTGTAATCGCATTTCGAGACGGTTCAAATTCCACTTGATTATAGTCACAATTCAAAAATATCGTTCGTTATTATCGTGTTCGTGTTATCTTATCTTTAAGCCATTAGCCATTTGACTACCATTTCTTTTAATTGGTTTGTTGTAGGAGAAAGATCTTTTTTCAATTGCGGAGACTATTATTAGTTAAAGGTACTTTACGTGTCTAAAATTTTTAGCAACTAGTTTAACTTTAATTGGATGCTTCGATTTAGTATGTTTACTGTAGGAATTAATCAATATATCTACTAATGGAAACAGTTCTAGAAAGTATTGGGTTTTCCCATTAAAAAGGAATTAACACAGTATTTAGTAAGTAAGTTCGTCATGTTTATTACCCCAGAGCATAAAAAGATAGAACACTAACAAGTTCAATGTGACCACGGATAATAATAATATCCAACAGAAAGAACTTTCAAAGTTTTACCGATACCTCAATATATCGGCAGCCGGCTATTTTTACACGCTTTATATTAGCTTCACTTGTATGTTTGTTTGTATGTTTGTAACCGACTCCGTTGGGCGTGATTTTGACTGACTTTAAACGGTCAGAATTCGTTCAAACTTTGTAAATATAACGAGGACCGATGACAATACACAAATAAAAAAAAAATATACCATTTTTTTTCTTAGTTGTCAAACAATCTTAGCACAAAAATGTCCAAAGCTGTTCTTTTCAGCCTGTAATATTCAATTCAGGTATAGAAATTATTTTTTGCCATTAAGGATCTTAGACTGAAACAGGGCTCTGTTTTCATATTTATGGTAATTTAAGAAAGCATCACATGTAAAAATTTTCAAAAGCTATAATACATTTTTTCTTTTTGTTTACCAGGGTAAAACTCTTCTTCACAATGTGGGCCAAGGAATCATCATCAGCAATCAGTCCTTGGTGTTGCAAGGAGTTGGAAGAAAAACTGCAGGAAACTACACGTGCGTTGGATTCAATGCCGAAGGCGATGGGGAGAGTAAACCGTTCTCATTGAATGTTCTATGTGAGTTTATCCCATAAATTTATTCGTAATGGCAAACAATTCGGACTGGCTTGCTAGTTTAGTGCTTGTGTCTGCTAAACTAGAAGTTGAGGGTTCGATTTCCAGTCAGGACAAATATTCTGTGATTAGGCCGATCTTTTCTTCTGTCTGGGTGTAATTCATTTAAATGTATAAAGTATATGTAGAAAATGAAGGCGTATGATATGTCGAAAGTCATTAAATTGTTCTTATGTCCTATTAAACATTTATTGATTTACAAACTTATCCTTTTCATTTGGAAAATTGACGTATCTTGATGTATGGAAGAGTAAAGATTACTTTTTTTTTTAATATAAATGGGTCTAAAACCTAGGATAAAAAGCAAATCCCTGTAAACTCCGACAGACTTGACCGCCTCTTGAACAAAAAGTGACTCCAATGTGCAGTGCTAAAGGCGCTACCTTATGTGATGAAACTTAATTCTTTCAATCTAATAGCAGCAATTTTTAAAATAGTTCTACTACTGAACTAAATAGTAATAATCAGTCTAACTAGTAATAATCAGTTTGTAAGCCATCTGTTAGTAACAAAAGCAGTTGCAGTTTCTAAAATGTATTTATTGTGAGCTTTTCATAACTTTATCTTGCATCTACGTAATATCACGTATTACTCATGTTAAACAATATGTTTGTTACTATGCACTGTTCAAAGTTCGGGCAGAGTTTGAAGAAGCGTTGGAATGCTCTTTGTGAATTGTTGGCCTAATTATGAACATTTCGTACCCAGTACGGCGCCAGTGTAATTGATATGAATGTATGTTACTTCAGATAACTAAAAGCTTTGCAACAAAGAACGACCATTGCCTTAGCAAGCGCCTTACTTAGTAAAAATATTCTTGAATTACTATAAAGTACTTTTTATACAATTTCTTGGATTTTTTTTCCAATAGACATTTCAGGTTTCGTATTGAACTTTGGGTTATGAGAAAAAAAACAATCGGGTATTTTATTATTACACGTCGAAATAAATAAACCCTGAAATTGTTGAAATGTAGTAGTAACTGTCGATCAATATGAATTGTCATTCATAACAGAATGTTAACCTTATTGATAAGGTTTATCCCAGAATTTGAACAACTCATTCAAGAACTTTTTGAGGTTTATGATAGTTGAGAGAATGTAGGATATTATTATTGATAAATGATGTTATTTTTCTAATTTGAGAATACAAGTTAAGACTGCGAGACAATTTATTGTTTGTTATTTAATGAACTTTGAAAAAAGCCATATTTACGGTTCTTTCAGTACTATTGGGTATATTCGCAGACTGATCTTCATGCAATAAAATGCATTAAGATCAGTCTGCGACATATCAAATTGTGTTACTTCTGAAATCGTTTAGCTATTGTTTTAATTACTATCGTGTGATTTTTACTCGTATTTTAGAACGTCTTTTTGTATACAGATGCCCCAACATGTCGAAGTTCACAACAAAGGGTGCATGGAGTGGCAAAGCAAGAGCGAGCGCACATCACTTGTCATGTGGATGCAAACCCACCTGAAGTCACTGTAAGTAAATATTTATAATTCTAGAATAAAAAATAAGATATTAATGCACAACAAAACTTTTTTTGATGATTTATTTTATTTGTACAAACAAAAAACATATTTTTTCTACTTGCAACGTAAATTATGTTACTTCCTACAATACAGTGCTTCAGTTTTATTAAGGTAAAAAGTAACATTTCGTTATTTTGATTGATTGAATTTTGAATCCTATTTCTTTACAGTTAATGATTAATATTTAATCACACATCACACACATCAACAGCCTATACTAGTCCACTGCTGGACATAGGCCTCTCCTTAGAAAGCAGGTTATGGTCTACTGGTTAATAATTACCTACTAATAAAGTTACTGTAAAAGCAGAAAATACTCCAAATATAAGTATAATATTTAATTCAGTAATGTCTTTGGGACACCAAACGCCAAAGGGAGGTTAGGAGGAAAACAGAGTCGCCATTTTAATTCCCTCTACAAATGTTTATCTATGAATGTCCCTCAGTATTGAAAAACCAAGGACAACAGAGAACTGTTTGAGACCTTAAGTTTCGGTTCGTAATAATATCCTCATGAATCTTTTGGAAGAAAAGTTTCGTATACATCAATTGGAAGCCAAATTGTGTCAATTACAGGATCATTTGCTAACTAACCTCCTTTTTAAGGAGAGGCCTATGTCCAGCAGCGGACTATGAAAGGCTGTTTGATTATGATGTGCTAAGTTTTTTCTCATCAAACGCCTTAGGGAGTCCCTAGTCATTTCTGGTTTATGGTTCCTGTTCTGCTTCTAAAGATTGCAGCGTGATATTATGTAGTCTATAATGAATACTCAGTATGAATAGTGAAGTTGTTTCACATACATTTTCAGGGCATTTAAATAAACAAACAAACTCTTCAGTTTTATTCTATTAATATAGATTGCTATAGATAGTATACATATATATAGTAGATAGTATATAAGTTGGCGGGCCTGTTGGTCTAGTGGTTAGTGACCCTGACTGCTAACCCGGGGGTCGTGGGTTCGATTCCCACCCAGGACAAATATTGTGTGATGAGTACGGTCATTTGTTCTATGTCTTGGTGTAATTTATCTATAATATGTATATATTTAAATATATATAAGTATGTTTATCACCAGTCTGGTTACCATAGCACAGGCTCTGCCTAGTCTGGGATCAGACGGCCGTGTCTGAGATGTTTGATGTATTATTATTATAATTTGAAAAATATTGTATCGTATTTCTTGTAGTACGTGCTAATTTTGCATGTGAATGTTACATTTAAATTCATAACGCTTATTTATATAAATGATGTTATATAACCTTTTAGATATAAATGAACAGAGTGGTATATTACCGAATCACATCCGCACGTGTTTAACAACGTATCTTGACAACGTGATATCTACGTAATAATCGATTTGAAACCTTTTATTCCACTAAGAGTTTTATATTCAAACTAATACTAGTACATCTATGATATTAGTTTTAAAGTATCAGCTGTTCATTTGTGTTTATTTTGACATTTCATTTTGCCCGGTTTTTACTGTTTCTGTTGACATTTTAAAACCAATATACAATACACCCAAATATATATACTACATATATAGAGAAAGTCTATTACCGTCAACCAGGCACGTATATTTCTAGATACATACGTATTATAAAGAAGTTGTACTATTCATCCCGTGGGTGTCGTAAAAGGTGACTAAGGGAGCAAAATACGCAGGAGAACAGCACTACAGAGAGAAGGAAAACTTGACACAAACCCTATACCAACCCGTCTGGCCAGCGTGGTGTAGTAGGCCAAAACCTCCTTTCTAAGGAGAGGCCTATGTTCAGCAGTGGACTAGTAAAGGCTGTTGATGATAATGATGATGATAAAGAAGTTGTTACTATAATACAAAATAAAATATTTAACAAAGAAAGAAGAAGAGAAAGCCACGATATAACGGTGTAGCTTCTGTTCAGGTTTACATTTTAAAAGTAAAATTACAGATCTGTCGCAAAATTATGTATTTGACTTGAATCCACCTTTTTTTTTTCCGTGCGGAAATCCCCTCGGATACCATCTATCGGTGGCATGTTGGGCTCGAACCGACTAAAACCGCACGCCGTCTCGGGTACTAATAGCCGGGGAACCAGGTATACCCTAGAAAGGAAGTCCCTGGTTCCCCGACATACCTTGGGATATCTACAGACGAGTAGACGACCCCCCCCCCCCCCCGTGTGACTTGAATCCACCCGCAAATAACATTTAGTATTAATTAATACTACAACTGGAAAGTATTTTTATAGTTATGTGTATATTTTCGGCCTATATTGTAATAGGCTTAAGTATCTGACGTGGTCTTTCCTTATTGGCTGGGGTCCAGAACGTTTTGTATCCGAGTATAGAGCCCAACAAGAAGAATAAATATTTTATAATCCTTTTCTCGTTACATTGTTAGTTTCATGCTCTTGCCTTGCTCTTGCTATGACTTTAATCAAATTTTATGCTGTCGTGAATTTGCGTCGCCTGTCTGTAACGGAAGGATAGTCGTATATTGTATATAACAGCAGCATTTTGTAATTTTTTTGTATTTCTTTATATACCATAACTTGTACCGTTTTATCATATTTTAGCTTCAGAGTATCTTTATATGCATATGTAGTTATGGAACATCTCCAAAATTATATACGAGTATATGTGTAATTGTGTAATTACAGCTATATATATGAAATTGACGAACAGGGATTTTTTAGCTTGAATCTTGTACGTATCTCATAGAAAGCCAATAAACAGTTGTCTATCAAGTTTATTAGTATGATAAACTATAGCAAATGGTCTACACAACAATCTCTATCGGTTTCATTCTCATCGTTTTTGTAATTTTTAATCCGTTTAGTGTTATTGTCCGTGTAGTGACGGATTAAGAATACGGATTGTCACTACCCGAATTCATCCCGTGGGTGTCGTAAGAGCCGACTACGGGCGCAAAACAACACATGACACCACCACTGCAAAAAGAAGGAAAACTTGACACAAACCCTATACCAACCCCGTCTGGCCAGCGTGGTATAGTAGACCAAAACCTCATTTCTAAGGAGAGGCCTATGTCCAGCAGTGGACTATTAAAGGCCATTGATGATGATGATATGAAATTGACGAACAGTCAATTTTTTAGCTTGAATCTTGTAGGTACGTACCTAATATAGAACTAACTTACAGTTCTTTATAAATATAAATAATCTGTATCATGTTTATTAGTATGATAAACTATAGCAAATGGTTTACACAACAATCTCTCTCAAAGTTTCATTTTCATCGTTTTTGTAATTTTTAATCTCTTGGAAGTGAAACTTACTATATTTTCATAACAGTTACGAGTGTGTACGAGTTTTTTTTTAATTCTATTTCTATCTTTTCTATATTTATTAAATGGGTCGAAAATCATTGGTTTTTTCTTTCTTTTTTTTTACTTTATATACAATCAGCTGCCAAAGGTTAAGGTCATTCCCCGTAGGTATCGCACAAAAGTAATAACTACATGTGTATTCCGTTCAAACGGTCTACGCACACTAACTCAAGATGGCTGCCGGAAGGGAGTTTGATTAATTACATTGCAGTTCATTGGTATTCATTAAATTGTGTTCGGTAAAATGTTCTGTCTACTCATTGTGATGAATTTTCCATCACAAAATTCCAAATGCCGATTTTAGACTCAGAATCATGCTGAATACACTATTTCAGTATTCGTTACTATGTCCCTTACACCTTGTATAGTTCTCCATTGACCTAGTTGTGTAACATTTGATCCTGCAAAATTTCACAAAATCTTATTGTTAATCTATGCCCCAGTTCCGTTGGACCTTCAACAACACTGCCAACAGCAACGAGGTCAGTGACACCTACGTGTCACGAGCTGGTACCAGCTCAACCGTCACGTACACTCCTCATACTGAGATGGACTACGGCACTCTGCTGTGCTGGGCTCGAAACAGAATCGGACAGCAACGTGTACCCTGCGTTTACCACATAATTGCTGCCGGTAAGCATGCATCTTTATCTTTCTACATGTGTATGAAATTAATTTGTATATTTGGTTAAGGTACCATTGGTTTTGCGATTTTTACAGTCTTGTATTTACGTCTACTGCATCACAGTTGACTGCACGGATGGCGTAGTGGTTTAAGCGGTCGCCACGCCGCTTCCTACCACGCCGAGTGTTGTGGGTTCAAACCCCACATGGGACGACACTTTGTGTGATCCACAAATTGTTGTTCTGAGTCTGGGTGTTCTTTGTGTCCGTTTCCCGCGACACAGGATATATTCCTAATGCGGGAGTTGTCTTTTAATAAGAAAAAAAAAAACAGGTAAAAACAGTAGAGAAACGCGCTTTGGAAAAATATATATAGGATCTTCTCAGGATTAGAGCCCTAGATATTAATGGATGATGAACTCAGGCTTGATATGGGTAGTATTTAAATAAATAAACAAACCAAAATTATGATAAACTAAGAATTTAAATTCTTATAGTATTGTTCCACAGCTGAGTCTAAGTAACTTACATAGACTCCTAAGTACTTAAGTTATTATTCTGCTTATATCAAAATATACAACGAACTTGTTTTTCACATTTACTACAATAAACACACATCTAAATACATCAACTTTATACCGTACCTTTGCAAATATGAAGGTATTTGTTATTTTGAAGCGAACGCCTCACATTGCCGGAGGGCAGCTCAAAATTTACTCTGAAGCCTTCACAAGTGTAATAGATGTGCGTATATATAAACTAAAACAATCTAATTTTAGGTTACCATTTATGTCTGTATCAGTCTTGTTATTTCTTGGTAAACTCGCATATATTGCTTATATCTATTGTGTTGTTGCTCGGGGGAAAATAGTGAAAGTTTGGAAGTTTGGAGCATTTGTGGTTTGTTTTATTATTTCACTACCAGATATTATCACTTGACAGTCATAATCATGAACAACAACTGTAATGTCAACTATGTATACCAACAGTACTTTTTAAAGTCCCAAAGTAATTAAGCGACAGTAAGTGATCCTAAAAGCATTGAAACTTTAAGTGTTATGTTGTCATTAGGATAACCCTAAATTGGTAAGTTCTAAACGTTGCTCTTGAGACTGTCAACTTAGAAAGTAGGACACAAAATGAATTAATTAAGATAAATAGTTAAATACGTTCGGTATTACCAATGGCAAAAGTTTAAATGCGATATTTAGATTGTCTGATGTGTTTGCTAACAACTTTGAGCGCAAAATTGTCTTTTTTTTTGATCCAGGACAGTATTTGTTTTAATGGAAAAATGTTATATGTTTATCGAGGTCATTAGATCAGTAGTGTAATCTTAATCACTTAGTGTTAAGTGCGCATAAGTTTGAAGTTTGTGTATAATTTTTCGCTTCATATTCCATAGTACGAACTATTAGTTTCTTTTTTTGTCATTACTCAAAATTTACATTAATTAATATCTTTGATGACCGGATGGCATAGTGGTTTGTGTAGCGGACTGCTATTCCAAAGGTCGCGGGTACGATTCCCGCTCAAGTCAAACATTTGTGTGCATGAACATTTAATGTTTGATTTTTTCTTGGTGTTCTATGTATAACATGTAAGTATTTAAAAAAAAGTATATATGTATTTATATCAGTTGTCTAGTACACCCATAGTACAAGCTCTGCTTAGTTTGGGCCTAGATAGCGTGGTGTGAATGTGGTGAAATATATTATATTATTATTATTATTTCTATAACATGTTAATAGACTAATTAAAAAAAAACTAACAACTTAACTACTCAATTAAAAATAAATGTCGCGTAACGTCGAACTTAAATATTTCCGTTAAATTATAACTTTAAAAAAATAACTTTTGTTGACAGGTCGTCCTGATCAAGTTCACAACTGCACTGTAGTCAACGCGTCACTGACATCATTCGGAGTGCGATGCTCTGAAGGATTCAACGGAGGCATGCCTCAGTCTTTTCTTCTAGAAGTGAGGGAGATCGTTACACAGGTAGACAATTATGTTCTAAATGGCATAGACAAAAATTCTGTTCCAGATGCTCTTGTTAATGAACTTCAATTCCAGAATACAGATAAAATATAATTCTTGGTTGTTATGTTTTTTGATTTACTCTGGTATGATTTCTTGAATTACTTTTAGCCACACAACTTTTGCATTAATATTATCACAGACACAGACAAATACTATTACGGCATAATACTTGATTTTATGAATAACCTCAATGAAATTAAATGTATTCATTCTATAAGCGTTTCTAATACCATAAGACATATGATATGACATTATGAACGCTATAAATTGTAAGTTTTCACTTCGTTTCACTAAATATGCTTTAAGTATACTGACGACCGGATGGCATAGTGGTTTGTGTAACGGACTGCCATTCCAAAAGTCGCGGGTTCGATTCCTCCTCAAGTCAAACATTTGTGTGCATGAACATTCCGCGTTCCGCGACCGTTCCGCGGGGTGACAGACAGTGGCGGGGGCGAGGTAGTGCGTCATTCTAGCACACGGCTACACACGAAGAAAAGCGTTTCCCTTCCCCGCTACACCACCCGCTACCCGCTGACATCTTGAGGACCTCGTCCCCGCCACCGTCTGTCACCTCGCACGACGTTGATGGACTATAGTAGCCATAGTAAAAGCTCTGCTTAGTTTGGGACTAGATGGCGTTGTGTGAATTTAATAAGAATATTATATTATATTATTATAAATTAAACTTAAAGCTGGATGCGAGAATCTCAAAATCGATCTAAGTGGCGTGCAATGCGAGAGGCCTATGTCCAGCAGTGGACTGCGATAGGCTGATGATGATGATGATACTTCAGTAGTACAATATTAGCAGTGAGATAAAGAAATTCATTAACTTGTACTATTGTGACTCATGACATTACTTTTATATTGAAATTAATTTTGAAAAACTAATCTTACTCTTTTGCCCAAACAGGAAATAGTTGCCAACGTATCAAGTGCTGTTCCTCGCTTCACTGCAGTAGGATTAAACCCGGGACGGACGTATGCTGCAGCTGTATTGGCTTATAATGCCAAAGGTCGAGGTGATCCTTATCCGTTGAGAGCTGGTACCTTGAGACCTCCGGAGAAGCACCATGTACATGATAAGAGTTTAGGTAAGGGAAAAATACACAGATTTAAAATTGATTGATTCGTATTTTATAGCTTTTTAAGAAAAAAGTATGCTTGTTATAAAATACGTGTGAGTAAAATATAATAAAGAATAGAATGTATAGCGATCTGATATTTACCAGAAAACAGAATATTGAAATTTTTGGTGATATAAAATATTTTTTAACAGATTTACCTCGCACAGCCTTCCAAATGTCGGCATCGATGTCAGTAGCTGTTGGTGGCGGCATTATTTTGATGGTGGTCCTGATCCTTTTTATGATAGCCGTTAAACAGCGTTGTGCTAAACGAAAACCAAGGTCAGCTCCTCCTCCGTCCTCACAACCAGCCTCGCCTGACAAACTGAGGGAGAAGGAAGACAGTGAAAGCGACGATCGAAATCCAGATATTATACCATCAGATACAGATCAGATGCAGGTAATTTGACATTGGAGTGTTCGCCATACGTTAAATTTTCCTGTATGTTCTATTTATTTCCTGTATATTCTAATTTTTTACTTGCATGATCCTTACATCAGTAATGTGATGAATATCTAAAAGAAACAAAAACTTCAAAAAACACTGGGAAACAAGGATAATACTCAAAAATTATATATTTTAAGAGGCTAGTTTTCAAGAAAAACCAAACAATGGTTATTTAAGCCAGTGATGACGCAGTGACCCTTGCTATTTAGAAAAGCTTTTAGATTATATTCCATTCATATTTTCTTATTAGCCTGATATAGATTTGAAAACGTATTTGCTATTCTGAAACATATCAGATTAAAAGATAAAATAAAATATTTTTAGTAAATAGCTGTAGCGGAATTTTAAGAACAGTGTTTTCTTTGGTCAGACAAAATAACTGGAGATTTACTGAATGTGCGTCTCTCAGTTTAAACAATATTCCCTCTAGATGGACTACTACCGGCAGCAACAAGTATCAACGATATCGCCTCCACTAGGGAGCAGAGGGCCTCGAGGTAGTGTGGCGGGAGTCAGGGGAGGATTACCTGCGTACTGCCCACTTAGAACTGCACCGCCTCCCACACATGGCAATATGCACGAACCAACCGTAAGCATTCATACTTTTTTTTTAATAAAAGTAATAGAATAGAATATCGCTTTATTGTAAACCAATTACAGTAAGTTTTAAAATACAATTTTTACATCTCTAAACGGATAATGACGGTAAAAATACGAGTTGATTCTTCACTAGACGAAAATGTTGATCACCTCAAATAACAGAATCCTTATTTAATAATAACGTGAATATAACCCAATTCCTAGGGTTATTTTTAACTCTTTATTTAGAGCAGAAAAAACATTTTCAATTCCGCACAAATTATTTCCTAAAGAACATTTAAAATTCTTTTTATTTTAATGGATTTGGATTTTATTAGTAGATTTATTCATTTGTTTCGATGAATTCTCATCAAATGTATCGGTATTAAAATATTTTTCCACCAGATCGAGGAAGGCTATTCTTATGGTGTTCTGTTCGTCCAGAACGCAGGCATTCCTCCGCCGGCGCGGTTCGCATCAGGATCGTGCACATTACCGCGGGGCGGCAGCGTGACTGGGACACCAGGCGGCGAGGCGCGCTGTGGGATCCCGCTGCAACACTTGCGTACTCTGCCGCGGCCGGCAACTGCCGCTACCGCGGCACCACCTAACGCCCCGCGCGTTCCTCCTCGTGACACTCCGCTCTGACAAACCACTCAACTATAGGACTTGTGTAAATAGGACTGCGTGAAAGTGCTCAAATACTTTTTTAAATCAGGTGGTTAGTGGATTAGGTTTTTGTGAATAGGAAATGTTTGTGTTTATCGTAGAGTCAGTACGTCGAAAAATTCCAACTGTAATACAAATCACATTGACAATTTTATTCATTGACACTCGATGGCCTCACTTTATGCTAAATTTAAACAATCCCTTAATATCAAGTACTTGCAGCTTTTTGTGCAGCCATTATTTTAAAAGTAACTTTATGACTATTAAGGAAGTGGCTTGATGTTTATGTGACATTTAAATATTAATTATTACGTTCTGAAAATGAAAGATAAATAGAATCCTTTGTCTTCGTTCTAAAAGTTTTGAATTCACTCTTTGCTTATATGTATATAATAATAATTAATTAATTTATTATTAATGTATTTTATAACCAGTTCGGCAGCATTTCAACTCATATTGGTCAAAACATATTAGATGTTTTATCTTGTTTGATATTTCTTATGCTATTGTCAGTAAGTTACACAAAAATATCTATTATTTCTTAGTCAAATGTGATGAATTCATTACGCCTTCTTAAAAGTGAAAACGGAAACTTCAAGACACTTAAAAGATACAATTAAGAGGAGAAATAGAATGTGTGAGAGACCAAAAGCGCAAATCATTACTGCCTTTTCGTTTTTAATTTAAAAACACATGGCATTTGGTTAATTTTTTTATTATAACATGGCGTGTACTTGATATTATCGTTAGTTGAATTCCAATTAGGTAGGGTAAAATAATTAAAAAAATTCTGTTAACATTTGTTTGTACGTCTAAAATGTAAATAACTCATGTAAACTCTAGTTATGCATACAAAAACAATATTTATACTCAAAATTGTTAAACATTGTAAGATTGGATTACATATTGTTTTGAGATTTAATCTTTTATGTTTATAAATGGTTGTGAAAATAAACAAAAACCAGATTTGTAACTCGTATGAATATCAGTATACCGTTAAAAGTTCGGGATTCAAATGTGTTGAACATTGGACTATGAATATTTCCTACTGTAATATAGTTAGTATGAAACCGATATTCTAGTTAATATAATCACTGAAGTGTGATAAATTTGATCTCGGTTCTTTTGTTTATTTTGGTGTCTGCCCAAATTTAATAGTAGTTATTTTTGCAAGCACTAGGTATTCATAAAACAAATGCATAAACGGTTGGGTCTTATGTTGCCTTATTACATCTTTTTCCTTATTTTTTTTTAATTAGTATCTATTCATTAACAATAGTTTTGGCTCTATTGTAAAAAGTAAAGTCCGTTTCATAAAAAAAAAGTACTAATAAGCCTGGTGGTTTAAACATATAAACTTGCATAAATAAAACTAATCCTTTTAAAAGAAGTAATATTTAGCAGACACCTTTAAATAAACATCAGCTTTGAGATTTTAAGAATAAAGTTCACATTACTTTGTCCATTAAGGGTTTTGTACATACGGTAAATGTAAATAGGTATGTTTTATATTGTAACGTTTGTAATCCTATTTGTGTCTTAAACTGATGTAAGTGCCGTAAGAGATGGGGTATATGGCTTTGTAAAATCAGCCTCAAGTAAAAGAAGATTGAAGATTTTGTGTATAATATAAAGTGTAATTGTGTGTAAAAGCAATTGGTTGGAAATTACAGACGGTAATGTTTTCAGTAGACTCCTGAAATAATTAAATATGTTTTGGAAGAGAATGTGTTGTTCCTTCTTTAAACGTGACTTTTATGAAGCTAGGGTGTGCCTGTCAAATACGTAAAGGTACGTATGGTGCGTACGTAAAGGTTTTCACAGAATGTCAAAAAGTTTTGAATGAAAGTTATATCGGAATTAATAACAACTAAAATAATATAAAAACCATATCTTTGATTCAGGTTAACGTGCATAATCTATTGAATTATAAATCAGTTAATGTTAAATGTGTTCATTTAAAGAATTGAGTGACACATATAGATAAAAAATGACATGCTAAAATTAAAGTGTATTACTTTGAAGATGTAAATTGGTAAAAATAATGCTAAAGTAATGATCAGATCGAAATAATAAATGAAATGGCCCTCTTTGCCACAAACTGCTCCTAGATAGTGCAATTAAACACTACTTTACCTGAGTAATCCCAATTTAAGATTTAGAAGCTTCTTCTGTATTGTTTGGAAGGTTCAAAAGCAACTGCTTTTTTATATTCCTACACATTCACACAACGCTATCTGGTCCCAAACTAAGCAGAGCTTGTACTATGGGTACTAGACAACTGATATAAATATATTTAAACTTTTTTTTGTAAATACATACATATTATACATAGAAACACCCAGACCAAAACAAACATTAAGGGCTCATGTACACAAATGTTTGACTTGAGCGGGAATCGAACCCGCGACCTTTGGAATAGCAGTCCGTTACACATCAGGTCGTAAATGTTTCGTTTCGGTCGTAAAAGATCTTACAAAGTCATAAACATCAGTTTTTAAGACAGAAATCATCGAACCATTGGACAATGGGTACATACTCGATTAAATACGTCAAAATAATATTAGTTGAAATATTTTTAAATTTTGCAATTGATATTTTAGCGGATATTAAATATCCTGTTGTGTTGCTAGTTAATAATTTTATAATTAAAACATTAAGTTTGTACGTTAAATAATTGTAAATAGTTTAAAATGAAGTCTTTCTAACTGTCGAAATGTTTTCACTAAACTATTGGGAAACGAAAATAAATGGAAATATTCGCAAATGTTTGCTTACGTTTCATTTCGTTTGTTTCATCTCCAAAGTTGCACGGTGTTTGGAGAGTTTAACTATTCCAATACTGACGTATGTAATTACCTGCAAGGAAATCCTTTATTAAATATATAGTTTGTTGAATATGAAGAGACCATGACAGGCACAAAAGCGACTCAACTGATCTTCTAGTACACATTTTCACGAAACAATCGAAAATGATTGTCTCTTCTGCAATAAATATAAACTTAATACAGATCAGTAAAGTTTGACATTAATTTATTAAATTTTGACTGTTTTGTTTTGTTTGCTTGGGTTATTTGCAACTTTTGTAAAGTTAAACCATTAATGTACTAAGCTTTCGTAAGATATCCTGGATCTGCGTAGCTCTTGAATCTGTTTTCAATTAATTTTTAAACGTATAACACAAACTTAGTATTAAAAAAAATCTTTCTATTCTTTATCGATATGTAAATTTAAGTTATTAAAAATTTCAGTCCTCAAAAAGAGGGTTGAAGGAGTTCTCTTTACGAATTAATATATGGATGCCAATCAAGGAAGTTATTCCAAAACACCATGGAATAAAACGCTTCCACTGTATGCCTACGTCCAGCAGTGGACTGTTATAGGCTGTTGATGATTATGATGATGTTGGCTCTTCAAATGATCTGTGATACTTGCGCAAAGTGATTTTTTCAATAAAATATGCTATTGTTTTAAGAAACGTCGTAACGCCAGCCCGGACAATGTCATTTTATTTTCCGTCTGTACCGGAATCGGGGCCAAGAACGAGGACAAAAATCACCCGTACCTAGTACTTTGCTATCAAATCGATTGTCATATTGTGGAGAAGGGGTGTTGTCACCCTTTCTTCCCGAACATCTTTTTTTATAAAGGAAGTGAAATGTCAACTGATAGTATATTTTTTGTTGCCCAGGTTCTGTTTTTCTATAAATTCAGTTTTTTGAGGTGGATTTTGGAGGTATCACAATTTTTCATTTTTTTATTTTTAGGCACAAATGTGATAAAGGCGGACTTAATGCCGTAGGCCATAGTGTAGAGCTAAAACATGGTAGATGCACAATATAAATTAAAAAAAAGATTTAATGAAAAATAAAACATACATAGGATATCATATACCCAGAGTACTTATATTAATTACATTAGAATATATTCTTATATTAATACATTAGAATTTTATATGAGTCCAACGCTTAGTTCTGATTATAAGTAAATTCCCTAGTTAAGGAGGATGCTCTTTCTGGTTAGGATTGCCGCATCTATATAGATGATATGATAATTGTTACAATGTGTTTCTTCAGCTGTGAAAAATTTATCCGTATACTTATTTATTAAAGGCAATTATGGACGTACCGAGGTGGGGAGGTTTAGTCAAGGGAGATAGCAACATTACTTAGTACGAAGTTTATTAAACGAAATTTTTCTTATTTACTTCCAGGCCCTGACGCCCACTCCCGTGGTCATAAACTTTTTTTTCCGTCAGTTTGCCTAAATGTATACGCTCGCGATGGTAATTATTTAATTATGTCGACATTCGTTTTTTTATGGTATAAGGGGGCAAACGAGCAGGCGGGTCACCTGATGGTAAGCAACTACCGCCACCCATGGACACCTGCAACTCAAAAGTCACAAGTGTGTTGCCGCCCTTGGAGTCCTTCCCGCTCGAGTCAGCGGATTCGGGCTTCTGAATTCTCCTGTGTCCTGTATTCACTCACTTAGTAAAAGGCAACGAAAGAATTGCTTAATACCAGTTTTCTGTGAGGCCGTGGTATCACTCACTTATGGTATCATTAGTCTTATTTATAATTTGATAGATTATAATTTAATAGTGCCGATTAATAGACATCATTAACATTTGAGGACAGAATGGTGTACTTTTTCTTCATGAAATTTAATCAAGTGATAATGAAAGACTGCCATTCTTTTAAACCTGAGAAGGATAAAAAGGAGCAATCGGAGGTTTTGCTTTGCTGTCTTTGTTATTCAAAAACTATACAATATGTTGTAATGTAAAAAATACCCTCATGACTATGAAATAACATCCATGATAGATGTTTTGGGAATACCAGTAAGGTTTATTGTTAAAAGGCTATGTGGCCATTTCATAGACTATCTAGAAAAGAGTGACAATAAATCACGACTCTTGTTTTCTCTTGTTTTACGATAATGAAGGGCAAACTAACAGTTTGGTTACCCGATGGTAA